ATCATGGCTTTCAGATAGTCCAGTAATTTTTAAATGATCTCACCTGTGTCTGTTATTACACAGTTACATCAGATGCAGTATTGAAATCTAAAAGAAAGTTGATTTAGTGCTTTTTATCTTTTTGACTGATTCAGTCCACGGAATCACAGATTGAGTTGGAAGACACTTCTGAGAGTATCTGGTCCAACCCGTACCTGAGTGAGAATCCCTGCTACAACATATCAGACAAGTGGTCATCCAGCCTTTGCTTGAAGACCTCCAGTGAAAGGGAGCCCATTGTTTCCCAAGGCAGCCCATTCCATTTTTGTGTAGCTATAATTGTAAGGAAGTTTTTCCTTATATCAGATTTAAATCTGCATCTGTGTAGCTTTTGCCCAGTATTCCTAGTTTGGAGTTGATTTAGAAGCAAACATATCTTCCTCATTTAAATATTGCTCTTTGAATTAAGTATGATACTGCTGAAAGTATCCTCAAGGTCAGTAAAACTCTGCTGATGCTGTGTTGTGACTCCTTGCCAGTAGAGCTTAAATTCTAGCAGGTTCTACTAAACCAGAAAGGCTTTGTCTTATCTGAGGAGCAGCGTCACTTAACAGTGACTTAACAGATTGCCTTGCAGGGTGATGAATCTTTTGACAACAGCTATGTTTGAAGACCATTTACTGAAGTATGGATGGATTGATTGGGAGCTACCCTATCTAGATGATATCACAGATCCCTGAAGGATTTAAATATTGAAGTTCTGCTTAAAATGTTTTGTCTTCTGCGTGTGCATTGACCAGAAGCCCATACCTCTCCTATAGTTCTTATTCACAGTGAAACTGAAAATGTACCCACTTAGCCCTTCTTGTAATTTTTGTCTGAAACAAAAAAATACACCCCAGACCAAACAAACTAAAACTAACCCACCCAACAAAATCCTTATCCTTTGTCTTTCTTCATTTTTTTCCCACAGAGTCCTTAAAGTAATTTAAAGTAACACAGAAGTTTATATGTATATGGGGTACATATTATTTATTTGTCTTTTCCCCCTTCTTTTTACTAGAGTCTATGTATGTTCACACCACCTGGAGTAAAGGAAGGAAAACCACGACTCATCCCAGCTGGGCCAATTACCCATGGTACAACAATATCTGCTTATGTAGCCAAATCAAGGAAAACAATGCTAGTAGAAGATATCCTTGGGGTAAATTATTTTTAACTTGTAATGACAAATTTTATGTTTGGTCATTTTAAAATAAAGTATGACTTATTATTTTGATGTGAGCTCTCTTTTAGGTGTTTCTTCTGCCCTACCCTCTACCCACCCTGCATTAAGACCATGTTCTACTCATTAAGGTAGTTACTCCCTGTTTGTTTGACCTTATATACAGGTATTTCACTTGGGAGCAGCCACCACATAATTTTTTAAATAAGTGCTAGAATACTGATTTATAAATTTTGTATATTTTCTACATTTCTTTAGTTGGAATTTTATTATTTTTTCAGAATTTTTGAAAAGGCACATATTTGACATAATTATCCATATATAGATATTACCTGGTATCACTTACCTAATGTCCCCAAGGAATGGGATATTCTACAATAAGGAAAACTTTCTATTAATTAAAGCTTTTTGTACATCAACAATTCAAAAATATTGACCATTTTGATTGAAATCTTTATAAATTATATTTTTTCTCTCAAACTTATTTAACATTTTTTGAATGACTTAAGGTCACCATTGTATACATAGAATTAAAAAATTTTAAAGTTGCAAAAAGATTTTATATTCTTAACTCCACTTTACAGATAAAGAAACTGAGGCCCAGAGATAGTATGTATATTGCCCAAAGTCATACATCCATTTAGTGATAGAATTTGGACTAGAACCCGCTCTTCTGGACTCCCACTCAAGTGATCATTGCACACCCTCACTTGTGTGTACGACAGATGATACTCTGAGAGTTACCAAAGATAGTCCCCTAAATGACCCCAGACTGTTTTTTTTTTAAATTTTGTGTCTGCTTTTTATAATTTGGTTTTCAAAAAGATCTTTTCTTTTGTCACTGTTAGCAGTTCTCAGTCTGCTGTCTCCTAGAAGCATGTCCCATTTATAGTTTGCTACTTGTAATTTGCTATGGGGTTTAGAATCTAGATAACTGACCTTGTTAGATATGTCTAAAGTAATAATGAAAGAGGGCCTCAAAGCATAGATATTTTCACGTTTGTTTTGGCTGCTCTTGGGCCATTTTTGTTTCCCGTCTAATCTTTGGCTGTAAATTCTTACTCTTTTAGGCTGCCTGATGAGAACTGCCTTTGGTTATGTGAGGTTTCACCAGATTATATAAAAGTACCGAATAATTGTTTATAATTTATGTACAGTTTTGACTTTTCAAAATGGCGTAGTGGGGAAAGCAAGGGCCTGAACGCATGGATTTAGTACTGATTCTGCCCTTAATTAGTTCTGTAACTCTGGGTAAATAATTTAACCTGCCTCTATCTCAGTTTCTTCTCCTGTAAAACAAGGAGAATGGAGCATATCATCTCTAAGGTACTTTTCAACACTAAACTTTAATCATTCTATAATTATTTTTTAAATTTAGTTATGATTTTCATACAACAGTACTACTAACTACAATAATATTTAATGATACCTTGCATTTGTATTATATCTTACATCAGTAATTTCCAAACTTTTTTTTAGTAAGAGTAGCCTTTGTTAACATCAGTTTTTCCAGCCCTCCATGACAGTAGTAGCTGTATTCTTGTTGCATAAATTTTTTGGTGCTAAATAAAGATCAAAATGAAAATTCTTGTTGGATATATGGATTCCAATACTCTTTACAGTAAGGGTCCTTAGCTTAGAGGTTGGAAACCTTTACATTTATAGAATATTCATATTTATATCAGCTTATTGAATGATTCAGTGTATTTAGGTAACTAGCATTTTTTACTTTTAAAACAGTAGCTGGTTTTGATGTTTGTGGTTTGGGTAAAATTCAGATTTATTCATCATGACCCTTGCAGGTAGGATAATCTGTTGAAAATGAATTTGATCTTAGCCATGGTCAACAGTCCAAAGTCCCAAAGAGGACAATTACCTCAGATAAAAATAGCCATTTTCACCTCTTGTGACAGTTACTGACTGATTTGAATATTGAAAATAATAAATTCTCTAACCTCCCTTTAATATTATTTGATTTTAAATGTGTCCTATTATCCAAAAGAAATGATAATAATTTCTCTATAAGACTAATGTACACATCATTTCATTTGAGATATTTTTGAAATGTGACAATGTAAAATAAGTGTATTGCAACATTTGGAGCTAAAAGGAACCTTGGAAATCATGGAATTCAACCTCCTAATTTTTTGTATGAGGAAACCATTTCCTGTAGTTTCCAAGTCTATAAAATTAGTGACAGAATAGAGTATAGAAACCTGGGTCTCTTGACTCTCAATCTCTAGTACTCTTTTTTACTATCTCACTTGGTAAACTTAAATTTTATTTGAATATTACATTATGATTAAATTCTTAACATTAAAAATCCAAAAAATATTGAGTTGACAGTGATTTGATAAACCCTAAAATAACATTTTTGTAAAGAATAATTGTATAATCAATGTGTTAATTTAACTGCTGTAACTCTTAATTATCTTTGTCCTGTGACTAATGAAATTATGAAATGCCAGAAGAGTGGAACCACATATTGATATTTGCCAGATAAGTGAAATCAAAGATATAAAAAAGTAAGCACTAAGTAGAAGGGGAGGTCCAGAGGTTCACCATGTAGAGACAGCTGAAGAAGGTGTCCATCTCTGCCTAGAATTCAAGTTCCTTGAGAGAGGAGACTATGCTTGCTTTTATTTATTTATGTCTCTAGTGCTTAGCCCTCTACTGGGCATTCGGTAAAAATCTAAAAAATAATTTTTTAATGCTTTTTAATTTTTCATTCATCCTCCCTGTATGTCCAAAGGCATTAAAAAACATTTCATGAAACTCTTGGGCCTCTTTTCTCACAGTGCTTATGATAAGTATAAATGAATAGATCAGTATAAAATCATTAGAGTTTTTGTATATATATCCCTTGTAGAAAATAAAGATCTGGATAAATTATATGAAGAACTTGACAAGAGCCTCCAAATTAAGTCAATATATGCCGTGATGATTGGTGATTTCAGTATACAACTGAGCGTAGGGGAATTTGGCAAAAATTTGGAAACATTTTGGGGAAAAATAAATGAGACTCAATGATTGTAGACTACCCAAAAGCCTTATTCCTGTACAGCATGAATAATTTATTCAAAAAGAGAGTCAGAAGGTATGGATATTTTGAACTCTATCTGGTTATAGCATTAATTTTGGAATTTGTTAGAACAAAAGTAAGAGTAACTACCAAATTAATTGAAAGGATAAAGATGGTACTTTGTGGGACTGCAGCAGCTCTGATGTGACCTATTTAAAATAATATTTACTTCAAAAAATGAGAAATGAATATATCTTTGAAGGGTTTAGCCAGTGCAAAAGAGTTACTACAGTGAGAAAACCAGAAGAACCCAAAAGTTACGTAAGCTTAGAAAAAGCTTTATTTCCTTTCCAGGCAGTGAGAGAAGGCAATCAATGACAGCATTTTGGAGCCAAGATCATTTACAGGACATTTTTGGGAAAGGTGATGGAAGATTCATTTATTCAACAGTTAGTATTATTTTCCAAAGCACTGTTCCAGAGGCTGTGCATATAAAGCAAAAAATAAACAGTCCTTACACTCAAGCAACTGACAGTCCTAATGGCAGGGTACAGTATGCACAGGGATAATTAATTTTAGGAGGGAGGCAGTAGCAACAACTGGGAACTTCAGGAAAACCTTCCCACACGAGATGGTTAAGAATTTTAAGAAGTAGAGTTCAAAAAGTATTTCAGGGATGGCAATAGGCTGTGAAAACGCACAGAGATCCAATATACAATGTCACATTATTGGAACACCTGGCACCCCACTTTGACAGGGATATGGTATATAAGAAGGTAGAATGTGAAATAGGACTGGAAAATTTGGTTGGAGTCTTATTAGATAGCCTTAATCGCTATGCTAAGGAGTTTGTGTTCTATCATAGACAAAATGGGAAGGTACTAAAAATTTTGGGGCAAGAAAGTGGAATAGTCATGTTTGTTCCTCAGGAAGACCATTTAAAATAGTTTTGTGAATTATGGATCAGAGATGAAGGAGACTGAAATCAGGAATGCTAATTAGAAGACCATTGCTATAGCCAAGGTGAGAGAGAAGATGAAGATGTTAACTGTAAGTGTGAGGGAAGAGTCTAGGATAAGTTTTTGGCTATATTAAGCAGTATGCCTAGAGCTCTGTGGATAGTTTAGAGATATGATATACATTTGTCAGTTGTATGAGTAAAGGTGATAGCTGAAGGCAGGTGAGTAAATAATGTAGAAACCATAGAGAGAGAGAGGAAGTAGAGGACAAAATCTTGGAGGATACCAGCTTTTAGCGTATAAGATACGTAAGATAATTCAATAGAACATACTCAAGTATATGTCGAGGAAAATGATCCTTAAGTTGAAATTACAAGCTCATAAAACAGAAAAGAACAGTTGAGAAAATAGGCCTGCTTAGTTTGAGGTCCAGCTTAATGTAGGTCATCCTCAGAGCATTTGCAGATGAAAATGAAAGGAGGATAAAAAATAGATGCACAAGAGACTAGATTTTCCCGCATATGTTTGGTGATACAGTCTTCTACTACCTTTGAACTCTCTCCGCTCAGTGTCCAAAGTATAATGTGAAAGAAGTGACAGTGGCACATGAGATAAAGTTTATATACCAAAAAAGTTCATGTTAGTCACATTGTTTTAAGGTACTGTAGGTTTGATTTTCAATATATGTCAAAGAGAAGAAGATTGCTTAAGAATGGAGAAGTTCAGAGATGACTTTAAAAAAAGTCAGAGACTGAGAAAACAACAATTATGCACTGGTATGCCTGCTTTTTGAAATGTATAATGCAGTCAGACGTGCATACGTATTAGCAAGCATTGATTTCAGTGATCTGTTCAGTCATACCTTATGACTGAATAATAGAACTATCTCTTCCTAAGAATCAGAATTGCAGAGGAAAAAACAAAAGAGCAAAGGAAAGACAACATGGTGGATGTAAACACATGATGACTTACATATGAGAAGTGGTATAAGAGATTACATTTAATACAAACAGTTGCTCAGTCTACTTTCTATGGAATATTACGACAAAGGCATGAACTCAAGAACACACAAAATATGAAGATGGGTGTGTGCAGGGGATTATCGGTCATTGGGGAAGATTTGTAACTTGCAATATTGGAAGGGTAACAGAATCAAGGAATCATATCAGAATTGGAAGCAACCTTGGCAACTGTCATCTAACACACACACACACACACACACACACACACACACACAGACACAGACACACACAAGAATTCTGGCCTACGATGTCCCTGACGAATGTTTATCTAATCTTTGCTTAAAAAATCTTTAAGGAAGGGGAGCCTGCTGCCTCCTGAGACAGTCCATTTCATTTTTGGGTAGTCCTATTAGTTAAAGGAAGTTGTTGTTGTATGGATTAGATAAACTGAACTAGATGGCCTTTAGGTCCCTTCTAATACTGAGGTTCTGTGATTCTGTGTCTTGCCAGGTTATTACCTAACTAGTAAGTGCTTACTAATGAATAATATTGATTATTAGTATTTTCCTCTGAATAGAATACATCATAGCTTATTGGTTTTATTTGCTAAAACTGATTAGAGGGGGATTTTTTTCTCTTTTTTTTCCCTTTCCCCTCTTTTTTTTCTTATTAGGATGAACGATTTCCCAAAGGTATTGGACTGGAATTAGGGACACGTGTCCAGTCTGTTCTTTGTTTACCAATTGTCACTGCGATTGGTGACCTCATTGGAATCCTTGAACTGTATCGGAACTGGGGCAAAGAAGCTTTCCGTATCTGTCACCAAGAGGTGAGAACTCAACAATGGTTTGTTTTTGAGTTTAAAATTTGTCACTTTTCAGTCAGGTTTAAAATGCCTGGTTGAATTATGTGTGTTTGCAAAAACAAACAAGCAAACAAACAAACAATTTTGTTAGCTGTTGAAGTGGGAGGAAGGTCTTTTATGTTGAGATTGTGGTGATTATCTTAGTAATACTTTTATAATAAAGATACTTGCATCTTCTATCGAGAAGTGGTTTAATAACATTTTTTAAGACTATATATTTCACATACAAAAAAGAGAATTGGGTTGTCTCTGTTTTTGTTTTAATAGTGAAAAAATGACAGACCTGAGATCTCATGGTAAGAAAGACCTGGATTCAGGTCCAGCCTCTTGAGACATATTGGCAGCTTTGTAAACTGAATACTCTTAAGTACTCCAAGTAGCTTTTGAAGTTTATAGGTTGTATAAGGATTATGGAACTAAATTGGAAAAAGAAAAAAATTTACGTGGAGTTCTTTTCTAGGCTAATGCATGTCTAAACAAAAAATAAAGCAAAAAAAAACCAGTTGTGTGATTCTTACGGTTATTGTTACAACTACTTGATATGTTTTTAAGTACCTATTATGCCTTATTTATGTAAAGTAAATCCTAATACATATTTGTTAAATGGAAAAACTTATATTGTTTGATTAAGAAGTTATCTAGAACCACATATTCTCCAAAATCATATGACTAAATTAGAAAAATTCATTATAAAATACTGTTATGTTCTTTTAAAAATAAATACAATAAACTTCAAAGGGGATATTCATGTTCTTTTACTATGCTGTAATTTTGTTGTTTTTGAATAATGCCTGAAATAAATAGGCCATCTATTCGTTTTTGTAAGTCATTATTTTAGTCAGTATAATAAGAAATCAACTATGATATTAGAACAAATGGTCGCAGCTTTTAAGACAAAAATAAAGGCTGCTTCGTTTCTTGTTCCTAGACCACACACACATACACACACACACACACACACACAGAATTATATACATACGCGCGCGCACACACACACATATACACACTTTTGCTACCAATGGGAATATCTTCCAATATTCTTTTATNGAATTATATACATACGCGCGTGCACACACACACATATACACACTTTTGCTACCAATGGGAATATCTTCCAATATTCTTTTATTAAAATATAAAAAATGATAGCAAACTAAGATCCTCTTAGTATATACCATAAATGTTTAATCTTTAAATCTATTTCTTAAAAATAAAGAACTGAAAAATAATTTAATAGGAACTTTTGCTGGACTAGAAAAAGATTGTAAACCCTTTGGGATTCCTGTGGCTCTTGTAGATGAATCTAGTTTATGCCTTAATATGAAATTACAGGGAATATGACAGTGCAGAAGAATGAGAAACGTAGAAAAGAAACCCTGTATAACCTCTGTTTTTAATGAAATCAGAATGGTGGTGTGTCTGTAAAAGCATCTGCAAGTTCAGTGACCTCAGAAACCTATTTCACTGCATTTTTATTAGAGTTCTCTAATAGAAAGTCTATTTGCAGGTGAATTGTCCTTTAGCCACTGCAGAGAAAATCCTGCAAAATGATCTGTGGACATAATATTGAAATTCAAACTGAAGTTGACATTAAATAATTTTAGATACTTTCCTGTTTTCTTTTTCAGGTTGCAACAGCAAATCTTGCCTGGGCCTCAGTAGCAATACATCAAGTACAAGTGAGTCTGAGTAATGTTTTCATAAGACAATGTCAAGTGCCCAATGTGCACACTTGAGAATGAATCATAGGCAAAGCCTCCAAAGTATAGTCGTATGTGTTGCATGCTTTAGGAGAATAAAGAGCACCATACTTAGCAGTACTACCTTAAGAAACTTTTGGCAAAGGTAAGTCAACCGTGTCATTGAAATAGAGCAATTCATGGAGCTATTTACTCTAGGACTCCTGAAGTTCCCCTGCCCTGTTAACTGTGTTTTTGTGTTCTCTGAAACATGGTATTTTTATAGTCAGCAGCCCTGTGTTCAAAACCAACTCTGCTACTTGGTACCCATGTGACCTTGAGTAAGTCAAAGGCTCTCCTTGGGCCTTTGTTCCTCTTTTGTAAAATTAGGAGATTGAACTAACGGATTTCTAAGATCCCTTCCAGCTCCTTATCTGAGCTCTTATTCAAAAAGGGACAAGCTCAATTAATTAAGCACTGGAAAATAGTCTCCTAAAAAGGAAACTGCTGACAGTTTGTTAGATGCTTGGGTTAGTTCATTAAGCTTTTCAAAGATCAAAGGAATGTAGTAGTAGTAGTAGTAGTAGTAGTAGTAGTAGTAGTAGTAGTAGTAGTAGTAGT